TAGGCTTCGTATTCATATAGTTATATTCTTACATTAACGGTCTTTAGTACTGAATATTATTTAATTTTTATACTTATTTATTTACACTTATTTATTCAAGTTGTTATTTAATGTAGCTATTGTTCAAAGTGTTGTCTTATGCAGCATTGTACGCATTGCAGCTCGTGTTGCAATCAAACACTGATCTGGTCAATGTAATGACTCACCAAGCCGGTACTCTTTTGTCCAAAAATCAGTGCGCATATTGCCTCTGAAGTATTATCGCTGAAGAAGTAAAAAAATTAAAATAATATTTCGCTTTGAAAACAAATAATATTTCGAAAATTACATTTTGTCTTTTTTGATTCCTTACACGCTCTCGAAGTTTGGCCATATAAATTTGGGACATCTTGTATTATCTATATTTTCTATTTAGTTATATTATCTAATCATCATTATTTTTTCTTTAGAAACGCACAACTTACATCAGATTTATTACAAAAATGGTATAGAACTCGTGCTTATGAAATTGAAAAGAATAGCTCTTTAGTAGATAATGCTTTGCAGTTAGTTAAAATTGGAAAGTCTCATAATATTAAAGGCTTGGAAGACTTGTTATTAGAATTGGAAACTTTAGACGATCTTGTGTACACCGTGCATTTGGAGGATATGCCGTTAGATAAATTAGAGAAAATGAGCAACATGGAAAAGATAAAGCTTTTGATGAGTACATCAAATGAAGTAAATTTTGTTGAAAATATAAAGAATCTTTTATTGCCTTTTATTAAACGAAGGCATCAATATTTGGTATGTATAGTAAAATTTGAGTCACTGCAATTACATGTATATACAGAATGTTATAACAGAATATTATTTTTATATAAATTTTACATATTTTAGGGTGGAGATCTTCAGAAATTCTTATTAAGTGATTATCTAATCTGCTTAAGTAAAGACGATTTGACGTTTCCAGTTAAATTTTTTGAATATTTAAAACAGACACAGGATATTGAAATAATTGAATCGATAGATGATGTTGTTACTTTAGCTTTAGATTGTATATATGCCTGTGACAATCTTGATATGTACGAAAAAGCTAAAGATATTCTAGATTCGATATCTAAAGATCATGATGAAACAAGATCAAACACAACACGAGAAGATATATTAATATGGGATATATCATTATTAAAAGAATGTGAAGGAGAACTTGACTGTGTTAGAATTTTAAGCAAATACGGTGTAAAAATAACGTTAAAATTTATACAAGAGAATATAAACGATCCTGATGTTGCTAAATCACTGTTAATCCAAACAGCAAGAAGTTTAAATAAAAGGTTGTGTCAAGCGTATAATATTTATAAATTTTAAATGATTATCATAATAGACATATGAGAGACTATGTATTTATTATTTCAGTTTGATACCTCCAGATGAAAGGGAATGGGCGCAATTATTAAACGATATGTTGGATGTACATGGATTGATTTTTTCATGTATTGCTGTTGAAACCTGTTTCGAAATATGTGTTTCGGCTCGTTTACTTTCCAGAATTAAATGTATTATTCGCAATTGTGCGACGTTAATAGAAACTAAGAAAAATGAAAAATCTTTGTTAAAAGTATCCTATGAGAAAGCGATTGATCTTATATTAGAAGCATCCAAAGAATATTTTAATGGTTCAAGAACGCTTACGGATCCACACATGGAATTAGCTAAGTAAGTATTTATTGTTAACATAATGATAATTATATGTAAATATATAATAACTTGTTCTGAAATATAACCTATTTCAATAATTATTCTAGAACTTGCTTGGATCTTATTGAAGATGATAACATAAAAATTAAAGAAGAATATGATCTTATTAAATCGCTTCAAATACTGAATGAATTTAATATTGATATATTACCTCTTCAAGTTAGATTAACGGTAGATAGATTAAACTTGATTGAACGCTGTTTAAATAATCAAAGAGATGCTTATAAAAATCAACAAAGATTATTAATGTTAGCAACTTATTTACGAATCGAAGAAAATAACAGTAGACTTCGTGAAAGAAAAATTTCGGAATTAATAGCTAAAAAAGCATTCGAGGTAAGATATAGCCTTCTTCTCTACGTTTTTTTTATAATTTAAAGTGTTTTTTTTTTTAAATAAAATGTAAAGATTGATATATTATATATTATTATATATTTCTTATTTCATAGACTGAAGATTATAATACATGTGCCACGATATGTATGCAGTTAGCAGAAAACAATTATCTTTCTGCTTGGGAAATATGTTTAAATTTGGGACGTTGTGATAATTATCAGGATTTAAAAATTAGACAAAAGTGTCTATGGTTTGCTGTAAATAATGGTCCTTGTGACATATTGGGTAATGTTTTAGAACATATATATTTGTTAGAAATACAAATGTTACATAAGAATTTGAAATTGTGGATGCCCGTTACGGAATTTGAAAATTTAAAAGATGAAGAAAGTGATACAAGCGAAGATGATTTTACGGATGCTATGACAACGGTAAAAGAAATTACTTTAATGAACTATACTAAATTTAATACTTTCCATATATATTGTATAATACGAGATATAAAAAAAAATATATTATGTAATTTACAGCCACAGATAGAAACGAAAGAGTTTGTCCCAAAAATATTGGAAACTTCAACAGGGATTGTAAAAAGTTCAGCTAACATCATGAAAGAATCTACATTTAGTTTAATAAGAAACATCAGTGATACTAATTTTTGGAAATCTAGATTGAATCTTAACTTTAAAAATAAATTAGAAACTAATGAACAACATGAATTTGAAGTGGAACAACACAAAGAAGACACCAATCTTCAAAGTTTTCCATGCTATTATGAATCCTTACACGAACTGTATAGGATAAGCGATAATGAGACAAATTACAATAAGTATTCTATGACAGACATAGAAAATACAAAATTAAAATGTTGCCGAGCGCTTTTAAGAATAACCATGTTGAGTGAATCCTCTTGTTGTGGGCTAGAAATAAGTGACATTAATCATTGTAAGTATTATATTATTAAAAATATATTTAATCGTAAATGTTTGTGTAACAAAAATTACAAAATTATTTTATTAATTTCAGTACTTTTAGAATGCGCAAAACACACTATGTCAAATGACTGGTTACTTAGTATGGCGTATCTATTGAGTTTAAATAGAGATCGTATTTTAGATGCTCAAACAATCTTTATAGATTTGCCACAAACTGAATTGTATATACAGACTGCGCTCTATTACTATTCATTAGAACTGTATAAGAAATTATACACTAATTGTGAAAAATTATATTTATATAATCCATTAGATTTAGTGAAAACTATGCTAATTGCAGCACATAAATCTGAAGAATGTGATATTGTTAAAGCATTACAATATTGGCAAAGTCATCTACTTCTTGAAGCACATATTAGTAATATGAAACAAGTGAAAGTAAAAGATATAAATACATTAGAATTGGAACAAATTACTACCCATGCACATTCTGAAGAGACTGTGAAAATCTCAAAATCCATTAATGAAGAACAAGTATCTGTAGAATGTGTCGATGTAACTAATATTCCATCAAATTCTAAGGCAAATGAAGATCTGAAAACGGTTATCTCAGGTGATATTGATACCGTAGAATGGACAGATGATTGGGGTGATTTTTCCGATGATAGCATGGAAGCAAATAATGATAAGAAGGATAAAATTAGATCCAAAGAAATTTCACAAGAAGAACCCGTTCTTTCTCTTGATTGCACCATTGCCGAGTATGAGACAGAGGAAGATCGATTTAAGCTATTTAAGAAACGGTTTAATCAAATAAATAATTTAGAGCAATATCAGGAAGTGAAAAGAATGATATTGCAGTGGCCGAAATTTAATGTGCCAGAGCATACCACAATAGATAATCATCCAGTTTTAAAAATGATGAAAGTGATAATTGCTCTTATAGAATCAAATACGACTGATTTTGAAGAAAAAATATTAAAAGAGTATGAGAAACTTATTGAATTATTAGAGTCTAAGGAGGTATTGTAATGAATTGCATTATTTCTTTTTTACAGATAATTAAATATTATATTTATCTAAATATATTTTGTAACACAGATTCTCAAACAATTTTTGAAGCTAGAACGAGATCACATTAGCTTTGTACAAAGCCTTTACATAAGATTGTGTTCTCAAGACATTTCGATGCATAAAGAAGCAGTAACTCTTATTAAAGAACAACAGGTCATTGTCGTCTATCTATGCGTCTATAAAAAGTTAACTCTTAAATATATAATTTAATTTTATTTTTTCAGACTGTTTTGTTACCACCATTAATACTGGAAAAACTTTTTCGAAATGATTTAACAGCACTGTTTAAACCAGATCACATTATATACAAACAGATAATCGAATATGTCTTTGTAAATGAGTCTCTAACCGGCATTGAGGAAAATGCAAAAGTACTTGTAAACGAGTTAAAAAAACAGAAATATATACTAGAGGCTTTGCAAATTATAAAATTAATGGAGAGAATACCATCGGTCTTATGCACATTTGATACTTGTTTTCAGCTATTAATGCAGGAATGAATCCTGAATGTAAAAAAAAAACTGTGATGCATATTAAATATAAAGGGAGATTACAGAAAAGGTATTTATTATGAGTAATCTCTCTGTTTTGTATAAAAATTTTTAAAAGACGTGCATGCGATATGGAATTTAAAGTTGCCTCAGTTACAAAATCTATTATATTTCGTGAGGAAAGAACGTAAGAAAGACTGAAACAATTTTGAATCCTCCCGCAAAGCTTTCTATGACTATATTTTGAAAGATTTATATATCTTTTTTGTATATACGAAAGAATTTATTTGTAAATATGTATAATTATAAATTGCGTTTAAAGAATAAGAATCTATTTGATGAAGAAATTCAGATAGTGTCTAACTAGCGTATATCCTTATGCCTTAATCAATCCCTTTGTGATAGAGCGAGTTTACCAGTATTTTCTAAATCGAGTAAGCTCCTTTGATTCAGTGTATCTCAAAGGTAATAACTGGGTTCACCAACGCTATCTTCGTTGATTTTATCAGCCATGATAAGATTGAATTATTTAGTCACCGCGATACGTTATATCGTGCTGCATCGTGTTGTACGCTCAATTACCATTGATGTAAATATTATTGCGCGTTGTACCCTCCAGTTGTGCTGAATGTCAACGATGATTGAGCGTGGACTACGCTCCCTACGCATATGATCGCTTGTCTAGCTTGGCAAACTGCTCCGTCCATCTGAGAATTTAGTTTGCCGCTTCCTTCGGTTGAATAAACACGTCCTCCAGTCGGGTGAGTCAATATATTTATGTATATGTCTGTGGCCACGAATATCCGGTTGCTTATCACATGTATTTATAAACGTGTATGTTTGTGTGTTCAAAAATACTTAAAATTTTTATTATCTTTATTAATTCTACTGAATGTAACAGGAATATGCTTTTTTTTAAATTTTAATTTGTAAAAAAATACGTAACAAGTTTATTTATATATTACTTCTTTGCTATAAATTACTCATTTGTTCGATGTTGAATATTTTGTTTAAAATGTGTATATGTGCGTGTGTGTACTAAAAGTACATTTTAAATAAAATTAAAATTATAATACAATCTAATTATCATTTGAAATGATAATTAGATTATATTATAATTTTATCATAAGAAATGAATATTAAGTAGCTTTGTTATTATGACAGTATCAGGTTTTGTGTGTAATCATTTTTATTATTTATAATTTATTTTTTATCCTGCTAATGTTAATTCAATCAATTGATAAATTGTTCTCACAATATACAAAAATTTTATAGCTGTAGCTTATCTGTACAGTTTAACAATTAATCAGCCGAAGAACAAAGAAGATATTCCAGCTACGGCTTTACTCACCGTTCCAAACGCCCTTCCTCGCTCTCTCTCTTCGCTGTGCAGGAAACGTACGTTGCTCTTTTTCATCGACCCGGCTTCCCCCTTAATAACTCACGGCTATTTTTGCGTCGTGCTTCACGACAGTATGGAGTACAATGACACGCTGCTCATCCCAGGTCAGCATATACGCCCGCCCGTGAACGAAGAGACGGCGATTGCACTGCTGGAGCGACTCTACGGTATGAAGGCGACGAATGTGCGCGAATTAAACTCTTATGACGACCGCAATTACCATATGATATGTGATGAGACGACCGTGAATCCACACGTGATCAGCCCGGAAAAGGCCGGCTATGTTCTTAAGGTGATCAACTCCTTGGATTCCCGTAAGACTGATGTGATAGAAGCGCAGACAGAGTTAATGATTTTCCTCAATGAGCGAAACGTCTGTTGCCCGTTACCGATTAAGAATATCAACGGCGTGTACTTTTCTTTAGAGACTCTGAAGAGCGAGAATACCATGGAGAAGTATGCCGTGAAGCTGTTGGTCTATCGTCCCGGTGAGCTGTTGTATCATGTAAAAATAACCGACGAATTGTTGCGCAAGGTCGGCAGCTTCACCGCGAGAATTGACGAGATATTCATGGGCTTCAATCACCCTGCCTTCGATGATCGCAAATCATTGTGGATGTTGACTTCGGTGCCGCGAGTGCAGCAGTTCACGTATGCGATCAAGAGTTCGTTGGATAAGCAGCTGGTGCACGACGTGATCTTAAGTTTCCAAAGGGAGGTATTACCAATCACAGACCAACTGGAGCAAACGATCATACATGGTGATCTGAATGAGCACAACATCCTTGTGAGTCCCGACGGTAAAGACATCGTCGCCGTGATCGATTTCGGTGATTGTCACAGGACTTGTCGTATTTTTGAACTAGCGGTAGTTCTTTGCTACATGATTCTACAAACAGTCGATGTAGAAATGGGTAGATGCGTCGTGGAGGGTTACGAAAAAATCAAGAAGTTAACCGACATGGAAAAGAAGATTCTCAAGATCAGCGTATGCGCTAGAATATGCCAAAGTTTGGTAATGGGCGCTTATTCGCACTTGCACGATCCTGAAAATCAGTATTTACTGACCACACAGAAAACCGGGTGGATGTTACTAAAGAGATTGTGGCCCATGAGTCGAGAGGATGTGATGCAAGCTTGGGGATTGACTATTTCCTAAACGAATAATCTTGATCAGTTTGCCGAATTAATGAATTAAGTGCTTAATTAAGAAAATAAGATTATTTACAGCTTTGACTATACATTTTTATATAAATATTTGAACGTATTTAATAATTACCTTTTGGAAATAATTAGGCAAAATTATAATTATTAGATTAGGTCGGCGGAAATAGAGGTGTTGAACTTTGAAAAATTTATTTTAGCATTACATATCTATCGGTTTTTAAAGGACGTAATAATATTAATCAGTAATTGAGCGTTTTTAATTGCAGTCATTTATCTATATGTATCAATAAGAATATCTAAAAAGAGCAATATTGTAACTCTAATATTCATAAAGTTTTGTATTCACTTAATATATTTTATTTTACAGTTTTGATTTTATAATTATATTATCTAAATTTCTTCTCTATTATGTTTTTTTTTTTTTTATTAAAACATAATACTTATCGTCTAAGTCAATTACGAGAGCAATAATTCTATATTTTATATTACTTACATAAATGTAAAATATATTTGAAAATATATAATAGGAAAAAGAAAGATATTTTTCAATTATTATTTATTTGCTCAAATGATGCCTCTACGACTGTTAATAAAATAGTATATAGCCGATATTCATAATCGTTCTTTAGTAAATTGAGTTATCATAGAAATTTCTAATTTTTTTATAATGAAGTTAAAGTGCCGAATTTAACTTGTGCAAAATTCTAGAGTAGGTCAACAATGAAACAAGAGGAAAAAAATGTTGAAATTTGTGAAAATTTTACTTTTTATGTATAACTTAGTGACAGATAAGGCTTGGAGATACTACTTTAGCTAATTGCACACATTTTATCATAGATTTCTCAAAAATGAGAATATAATAGTTTAAAATATTACTGGTCACATATAAAAAAAACTAATATCAAGTGAAATGTAATGGTGATATATGACATGATATGAGATAAATTTTATTTATCATCGCAACATTGCTAGAAGATTCTTGAGCGTTGTAAAGGATGCAAACATATGAACGAGTTCAAATACTCGCGCGGAATAGCAGAAAACGCGCAAAGAGTGGGAAGGAGAAAAAGAAAGATGACGTAACGTTACCAAATTGTCACAAAACAAATTGTACAAAATTCAATTTTATTATTTTTGCATATTATTTTTCATATGTTTTATTAAGATATACACGTAGTTTTAATATGTTATCCAAATTATACAGATATTTGTAATTTTGAGTGGATCCTGGTGAGGCACCTTCAATTTTCGGCACTTTATTAAAGAACTATCTTAAAACTGTCAAAAGTCTTAAGATGGTATAAATCAATCAAATCACAGAGCCATATTATGATATTAGCATTAAGATATTATTTAAGTACTATCTTATCCAATACGTATTGAAATACAAAACTATGAATGGGACTTACATTGAATAATTTTAATATATATATCGTACAGCTCAGCTAGCAACCGACTTCTAATTAGATATGAAATACGTTTATTAGGAAGTTTGGAATTGAAATTATTTGCTAAATAAACTTTAAGAAAAACTAACTGCAGTATTGTGCAGTGATATATTCTCTTGTTTTATTCGCATTTTAGGCAGTCACATATTTACATAGATATCATGAACAGTAATGCTTACGTACAGTACTAAGTGTGGAGCCATTTTACATACCTACATCGTGATATATACAAAAATGTACGTGTCGGAACTCATCTCCCTTTCAATAATTGTTGTTATCATGTAGTGTATAACCAGAAAATAACTTATTTCTCGATATCGCATTGATCAGTAACACGGCGGAGTCGTATTGTTATAAGGTAAGTATCAGTTAAATACTTACTAAAATGTAACACAGTGATATACATGACACGCCGATGGTAGTTACATATCATTGCACTTCCTAGCTGTAATCATTATAGGATGTATTAAAAATCGTGTATCTTCCTTCAGCTAAGGAATGCATGGCTGAGGAAAGAATCTCGACTTTTGATGTTTCCGGTATATTCATCGTATATTTTTTCCTTTTAATCTCTCAACATAAAAAGTATTTATAAGCGTGTACCTCAGTAATTTATGATATTTCGTAATATTATACCTTTTATCTCTTGTGTCTCTTTAATACTCTAATTATTATATTTTATTTAAATTTCATTTACGTTTCAGCTCGTTTTGGCAAACTGCTTTAGCTGTGTTGAGGCAAATTCGTTGATAGCGAAAATCTGTTTACAATCTTATCAAATCATATACTGATATATAACTTCACATAGGCGCCGCGCGCCGTAAGTATGAAACGCAGCGAAATGTATTCGCACATTTATACATATTAATAATCTGCCACATCCCTATATTTACTATACAATAATTATAGGAGTTGAAGATATATATTTTTTAAATAAACTTTTAAAAATATTTCCGTTGTCCATATCTCCTACAAAGAGTTCCGGCAGCGCCTATGATGTAATCAAAAGTTTAATACGATTAATCATGTATACATATAAGGGAGGGCCAAATCTTTATTATACGTACAATCAATATCCGCGAGAGGAGTTCTTACTGAAAACATTGAATTCTACGATGGATTCTATGAGTGAATACGCGACAAATGAATATTCGTAACTACTGATAATTATCTAGATAGTGAGAGAAGTGATTAGAGGCACATAAGTAAAGTCGGGCCCTTTAACTAATAACGGAATGGTCATGTTCACGAATTTTCGCCAGAGATTATTAACAAAATATTATATTACAATACTTATATATTTTCTTTTATTGCTTATTGAATATCTATATTGGCTTAAGATCGCCTGACGGGACGCGTATAGGCGCGCAATAATTCATTTGATAACTTATATTCTTAAATAACTTTATATTTTACATTCGTAATATAATTTATATTAAAATTTATAAACATAAAGGAGTGAGGGAAAGACAATGTCAACAAAGATATTCAAGGACAGAGCGTACATATAATTTCTTCCTGTTTATAAAACGGAATGTCAAATGATTCTTTAGTATGTGAGGATTTTTTACATTAATGCCCAAGAATAATGATCCGAAGAGCGTTTCAGTCTTAACAGGATGATTTTCTTTTGCTTCAGAAATAGACGGAGATAATGTATTTAATTGTAGCAGGTAATAAATGTAAAAAAATAAGCGTCAAGAAGAAATGCTTCTAATGTGAAGAAATTTGTGGTGTAAACAATGTATGTTTCCCATGTTCTGAACTTAACGTTTCATTAAAATTTGAATACCGTTCTGTTTAAAGCCATTTTCTGTGCGACTCAAAGCACCAACATTGACGACATTTAATAATATCGTGTCGATATCAACTGTATGTCGTGATAACGAAACGATCTTCTCAGGATATAGTATCTTATAATCGAGAATGGATTGAAACAAATTGAAATAAATTCAGATTTTTAGAAATACACGTTAAAAAAATCCTTTTCAATCTGGAATGCATTTTTATAGGAAGTGTACGTGAAACATATTTCTATGCTTTTTAATTTAAAAATATATTAGCTTTTTTCTGCATCGTAAATATTGCTCAATTCAAAATTCTGAATTAAGAAATGTAGTTTTTCAGTTCCATTGAATCTATTATAATTAAGTTCAATTAAATCTAATTAAATAAAAAAAGTTTCGCTATTTAAAATACGCGTATTTAGATAGATCAAATTTTAATCCATTCTCGTTTACTAGGTAATAAATTTCTACTGCTTTTTCTCTCATTACCATGTTATAACAATATAACGCTCTTAACTTTTTGTGGACGAATGTCGGATTTCCATTTTCCTTCTTTTTTTTTTTTTTTAACTAGGAGAGCAACATGAGGTTTGACGAGCAATTTACAGGAATATATCGCGCCAAACTACACGTGACACATACGTTAGAAAATTATGATTTAATTAATTTAGAAATTGCTAAGATTGGCGGGTTTCTCTCTGTTTACACAAGGAACACTCGAGGCGAGGAGGTAAACTGGCTCTCGCGACGACACGATGAGGAAACTATTACAGCGAAGTAGTTTTGGTCAACTTTCTTGGATACTTGTTTTTTAATCTATAAGTTGGACATCGTAATACTGTGCAATTTTATTCCACAGCGAGTCGCTCCTTCCGCGTGCGTTATATAATTTACTAACAACAGGCATCCCGGGTGCATTTATATATGTCACGAAGTAATTGTCCGACTAATCACGATTTACACTCTCTGTCTTACGCGCACTCTTAATTATCGTTCATTTTGTCTAATCCTCACAATGAGTCATTTATCAATATCTCGAATCTAGCGACACGATGCGCAGCACTGTTTCTTGTACAGCGGCACCTTACATATGTTCATCGTTTTCACTCTGCTGCACAACTGCGAGTGGTCCTTGCAATCTTCTACAAATGCTAAAATAAAATAACATTAAATACAACAATATTTTTTAAAATTGTAATGTGAATATATAGCAGATCAAAAATAAAAAACAAACTTGTACAGAAAATCTGAAAAATTCTAAAATATTCTATGAAGAAAATTTTTTAAGAAAAATGTTCATCAAGGCTTCAGTTAACATGAAGGCTGTGTGAGTGAGAGAACTCTTTAAAATTTAGTATATTTTTCTTATAGAAACCTTACCGGTAGACTGAGGACAAGGCGGACCCCTGCATGTTTTCATTACAGGAGGTCGTGGTATATCTCTACAAGCATTTCCCGCTGGCTTCTTTGTACCGAACCAGACACATTGTAAAATCCTATATTTGATACCATCTTCCTCACAAGACGCGGTGCACTATGTGTTAGAATATATTACAAAATTTTAGCATAAGTATTATCATTATCACGTAAATTCTAGTCGTAAAATTTCTAGTTCGATCTATTTACCTCAGTCCATTCGCCGACCCTCCAGACACCCTTGCAGGCATCGTTATAGCATTCTTGTCTTTGTAGCGGCCTTGTAGCCTCGTCACACTTACTCGGGTCCAACAACGTGACATTCTCGTGACCATCCTTTGCGTCGTGCACCAAACGACAGCTAATGTCCCGTTTCTGCATCGCTGTCTTCCAGTTGAAACATCTGGACGTTTCGCATGGAGTCCATTCCGTGGTATGCCATTGAGGACATTTGCCCATTCCGCAGGGTCTCACCTTCTCCGGTACCGGATATCCGGCGTCCTCGCACAAAGTCTGACCGATTACCGTTCTTGGTGAGACGTGTGTGAAGTTGCCATCCGTTTTTGTCGATCGAACTGTACACTGTGCACCTCGCATCTATGGTATAACAACAAATAATTTGTAATGCAGTTATTTCGAATAAAGATATATTTCAATATGTGAGTATATATAAAATTGGATGAAATTTTAAATTCTTTTGACTTTTAAATATTTTTATTAAAATGTCATGATCTCTTTTTTTTCGTATAAATTGATAAATTAATGAAGTTATAGTATGTATTTTAAATGACAGTAAGTAGAATGTAAATGAATGAATCATGATGAAATAAATGAATGAACACAATCATATATCGAACAAACGTTCGAAATTTGTTATCGCTTCAAACATTCTTAGACAATTGCTTAACAATGATAACAATTAAGTCTAAAATATTCTTTTTATCGAATTAACTCAAAAGAATTGTAAATTTTCTAATTTAAGCTAGTCACAATTAGAAAAAAATGATCTTACCTGGAATCCACTTCCTCCACAAGTTTGAGAACACTTCGACCAATCGGTCGTAACCCACTCGAACACCAGAACATTATCCGCAACTGCATTATAAGTCCTTCGTTTAATTATTGGATCGTTTAAACATTATCAAGACAATGTAAATTATCAAGTATAATCTTACCTAATACAGCGAGAGATTCTGCAGCGGTATCTTTTGTTGTAGCATCCTCTTCCGTTATAGTGGACGTCAAAATGTTCACGGGCTTATTTTCATTACCTTCTCTAAACGCTTCTTTTAGATCCACTGAGAAGGCCTTTTCTATGGAGCCAGCGTGATCCTCTCGATTGCGAGATAAGTTTCTTACGTTCTCATCAGGATTCTCCCCAACAACGCTCGACCTCAGATCATCTATCAATGTCGAGTCATCTCTCGTTCTACTTTCCAAGTCTCTAGTAGTCGGAAATCGCGCGATTGTATAATCCGCCGTGTGATTTTCTACATACGGCACGATTTTCCGCTTATCCAGCTCCTCCTCGAACGCCTCGCTGTACTCTATTGTCCTGTTCGTGTGGTTTAAACTACGATGATCCGGCTCCTGTATCCTTAATCGATCTTCAGGACTTCTAGACATCATTGTGGAGGTGACGGTCGATGAATCTTCAGTTCTCAAGTTCCCATAAACGTCGTGATTGATGGACTTATCACTATCGTCGGTGAAACTGTCTGCCTCCTTGAGCATTTCCTTTTTTGTGCTCGAGTCTTCAATGTAATGTACGCTCATCTTGCCATTTTGTGAAGATGCGATAGATTCCGTTGTGCCTTTGCTTTGGAGGATGTGACTTTTGGGCGTGGTGCTCCAGCGATCTTTGTACCCGGTCTTCGGTTCTTGCCACTGTCGTTTCACATTTTTTAACGATTCTTCCATATAATCGATATCGGGCTTCGTAGTAAGCTTGGTATCAACTTCTTCCATTATATCCGACTTGATGCCGTCGCCGTGCTGCAGCCCGAATACAGATTCGTCCAAATCGTACGGATCGACGTCGATAAATATCCGCTCCTCGTCTGGGCCGAAGGTCTCGTCCGGGATGGCTGTGTTACGATATAGATTGTCAAAGTTATCCTCTACATTTTGATACGTGAAGTCGGCTTCTTTGTTAGACATTTTACGCTTGGTTGTCGCCATCCTTTTATGTTCGTCCTCGACAAATGGCGTGGAAGCGGTTCTGCGATTATTACTCATAGCTATTTCGCTGTGAAACGGCCAATAGGCCTATATAAAGCGTGTTAATACTTAACATTTAGATTTTATAATATGTAACGTTATGTGTCGAGTAAATCATAGAAAATTTAGCTACGATGGCGATATAAGCAGATAGACGCGTGTTATATAACACTTCATCAAGTTTATTCACAAATAAACGTCTTACCTTCAAGCTCGATATCAAGTAATTCAAGTGCGGCACAAGAGTGGAAGCACTTGATGGAGCAGGTGATTCCACGGACTCATGATATCCCGGCTGATTGATAGTCACAAATATCGAATAATCGACATCGAGGAAAATTAGTCCAGGAGTGCAAAGCGGAATACAGAACCATCACCAGAAAATTAGTTTGGCAAAATTCATGCATATACCATTTGTTAAGCAATGTCAAGATACGCGCAATGAATTATTGTAGCGGGAGACAATCTTGACAGTAGAATGCTTTTTCGCGTACCTGGTTGAGAGAGGTAACAGTGTGTTCTTTATGCATCATCGTGGCATCTGACGGAGTGGGACTGGTCTTCTGCTTCTTTTGATGTGGTTTTCTCGTTGGTTTGCTAGGAAACGCACGTTCATGGCTAAGGTCCTCGCTATCAAAACGGTTTCCGTAGGCTGCTGTAAGAAAGAATCAAAGTTGTATGTGTATAAAGCTAAAAATTATATTTTCATTATTTTTAAAATCTGGGTTACTTACATTATGAGCTTAGAATTAAAAAATCTAATAGATTTTTTATATCTCACTAACATAATATTTATTTTTTCAGAAAAATATTAATATTTGTAATATGTTATACTAATGTATATTTTATTAGCTTTGAATTTAAAATATGTTTTAAAATACATTAATTTTTGATATTTGTTTATTTATTTATAAATTGCATTATTTTAATATTAAGAAATGTTGAATATTAAATTAACATAAATATTCAAATGACAATTACATTACATTAAATTATCACGCGGATATGTTAAACATTTATACACAACAATTTTAACGAGAATCGGTTTTAATAGAAATACAAATGAATAATAATGTTTGTAATATGAAATAAAAATGTTTCCTATTTTATAAAAGTAAATTATTTTTTTTAAATAAAAATGCGTTTACCTGCATGATCAGTGTACGGACTTTCGCCAGAATTCGCTGGTGCAGAGTCAAGGTTTGCATTTCGTTGTAGGTGAACGGAATTGCCAAGTCGTAAATATTCCTCGCTGCTTATCTGCTCTTTGGAACGAAATTTCACTATCAACTGCGTCTCTGCGTGCGAATTTCCCGCTGAAAAAGATTATTACCGAATTTTTCATAGAAACGTGTCGAAATACGGATACGGTATAGACTATATGTATATCTAGGCAAGATCTCTTACCAATGCAACCGTAGACTCCCGAGTCCGAGGCAACTATATCGATTATCTTCAAAGCTCCCTTCCTGCTGATCTTGTATTTTCTGGATTTTCGTATTTCCTTGTTATCTTTCGTCCATACGATCTGAGCTCTGAACGATATTGTATTTTGTAGTTATTTTACTTGATTTGCAGTTACATCGATTTTGTGCTTGTACTTACTTGTCAAACTTTCGAACCGGACAGCGAATTTTGATAGAAGGTGTCCCCTGAAAAATCTTGGCGATTCCGCCAATCTTCAAATCCACCTTCGCATTGATATCTGTTTGATTATACGTTGTGTTCAGACTCGTGATGGTTGGTGGCATGTTAGAGCTTAAGTCTGAGTCATGGCAGGCTCTGGTGTTACAGGGTTTCTCGCTGGCCGGCCTTTGAGCTGGGCATTCGCGTTCCTCACGACTCTGCTTACGACCTTGCGCCATTATCTGCTCGCAAACTACGTCTCGCTTCTTCACACCGCCGCCACACGTTCTCGAACACTAAAATTATTCATTTATATCGGAGAAGTTTAGGGATTTTCAAACATGCTTTCTAGAGTATCTATAATAAAATTACATATATAAATCAAATATGAAACCTACTGCTGTTAGATAATTCAAATTCTAAAATTTCAAACAGATAATTTAAATACATGTTTTATATATATTATATAGGTCATATTTGAAAATTATTTGATAATACGTACATATTTTAATTTTATAATCTCACTATATATTTTAATATATATGTATATTAGATTTCATTAATATAAATCATTAATACATATAAATCTTTGCAACGTTTACAGCGTCTTACTCTCATTAATCCATTCTTTACATATATTGTTATTAATAAAAATGACATTTAAATTTTACAATACTTATGCATAATATTTCCTTAAAATAATTAAATTTTTATGATCTTTTTTTTAATAAAAATATATACAAAAGTTTTGGCTTTTTCATCGAGTAGATTCTCTCACGTTCTTTTTGTATGCATGAGAGAAGTGGTTTATATCACTTTACCGTTCTACGCGCGCGGGTTCATGTGTAACAAAGAGCTTTTTCCCCGAGATTGTTGAAGCCTTATACAAACGTGTACAAACATATACCTTCCCCCATTCCCCCGTGCTCCATTTGACAGGACAATCCAGTACATTGCAGTATCGTCTGTCGGCGGGCGGTGGTTGCGGACACATGTAATTTGGAACAGGCACTGCTTTGTTGGTGCCGTGTGTCACCTCATGGATACAGGTAACGTCACGTGTCTGTATACCAATACCGCAAGGGCTCATGCAAGTGGAGAATTCGCTATAATTCCACCTATGGGCGCAGACGATCACATTTGTCAGGAAAGATCGCACAGAAAGTTGCGTCGTAACATTAATTAAACCTTCCTAAATTGTACATACAATTCGAAAAATTGCACAGTCAGGCATATTATGAAAAAGGTCGTTCAAGTACTTTTTAAAGTTTTTTTTTATAATTATACTTTTTATAATTCTAAATATACATAATTAGAAAATGTATAGAAATATACTCGAGTAGCAGGCTGGTGTTATTTGTCGTAATTTTAAAACATCAAAATGACACTATATAAAGATACTACTTTGACATCAAAATGACAACAAATAAGGATAATTTGTTACCTAGGTAGTAACGTATATTTAAAAGAATAAATTCTGGAGTTACTGGAACCTTTTTGATATTTAATAAAATGTAACTTTAGTTATCTAAATCTTATCTTATTAAACATTAAAAAGACTGCACCAAAATATTCTTATTGATTGCTGAGCTAGAGACGCTTTAATATCTGCTTGGGAGAATTTATCCGTGGAAAAATTATCGTTTCCGAAGCGCTTTAAAGTTAGTATCAAAGCTAAAGATATCTATTTTGAACGTTCATTATTTTTTTTATTTAATAAGATATAAATAACAGTCCAGAATTTGTTTTTTCATGAGTATACGTTACTGATAATTTAATAAATTGAAACACAAAATTTGGTAGTCAAATTTTGTGTTTTTTTGTTGTCTTATATATATTTTTTTCATTGAAAAGATGACATTTAACGAGAAAAATGCTTATTACGAGGGTGCATTGAAGCTGATATTATTTGACAGTGTAAGCTGTTAGTTGGAAGCATTCTCAAGATGTATACTTGGCGATTAAACATTATTATGTAACGCGAAGTATTTTAACGTTTAGGCATTAAATCGATCGATATCGCGGAGTTGTAATTTACCTCGGAGGACATGGATGATCGTTACAGACTCGTATCCTCGCCTCTGGCTTTGTTTCCGCGGAGCATAAAAGCGGCATCACTGTTTTCCCGGTGTCGTCCCGTACACAATTTATAATAAGATCTTGAACACCTAGGAAGAAAGAGAAGCACGTGTATAATCGGTGTACGCGATTCGCCATAAACGGCAGATAATCCGACCGGAGCGTACGCTCTCGTCCCTTTGTATCGCGTTAGTCGACACAGAGTAATCTTAATACGATTATATCCCAACGCTGTTAATTGTACAATGACATCAGCACGATTTTGCCGGGCTAATTAAGGACTACGTCGACGAGTTAAATTCGTTTAGCTAATCCTATTCAATAAACGATTAATATCGATTTTGCACAGATTCTGTACAATGCTCTCTTATCTCGTTTACAAATATCACGTAGAAAATTAGAATTTTTTTAATCGTTCAAGAATAACTAGACACGTCTAAATTTAAAAAAAAAAAAAAAGGGAAAAAATAGAGAGACTATTGTTTAGCTAAATGTTTCTAGTATTTCAAAGAAAAAAATGCATAAGACACGAATGATTCAATCATGTGTATCAAGGGTTAATTTAATGATTTCTCGAAATAGTTATTCATTAGCGTAAGATGAACGCGGGACAAGCTTGAGTGGAAATTGTTGTATTCATTTAAAATCCATATGCGATGAATTAAGAGCCGTGGATTACCCAGGCAATAAAGCTCGATCTCCTATCCATCCGAGTATATTATCAAAAGCAATTTTGGCGAACAATGGTTCAATTCGCCTGAACCGTTACCTCCTAAGCATGTCGCGCTGCAGGGGGTGTAGCCAGTTTCCTTCCACGAGTACGTAGTTTGCACGTCGCTACCCGGGGCGACCTTGATACCGCTGTCGTATCCGCTTCCGCCGGAACTACCGGGCGATGATCTACTGTACGAATCCGTTAGGCTCGACTCGGCGTATCCGCTATCGCCAACAGTGTCGATTCTGTAGGACAAGCTGTTCTCCAGCAAGCCGCACGGCTCCATCGTACACTTTTCGGTTTCGACGGGCTTCAGGCCGGAGCACTGGCTGTCCGGTAATTTAGCGATGGTTTGACTGAACTCGAGGAATATCTTACAGTGTACTTCCCTGTGCCTGACGCCCTCGCCGCAGGTGACACTGCAGGGGGACCATTCCTCGGCGATGAACCTGAAGACCCAAGTTCCACCAGATTGATACATTCGCGTATAAGATAGTACGATAGGCGAACGTGAGCTCAACCGGAAACTTAGGTAACTAGAATTTTGGGTCACGAAAGAATGAAAAATGCGATGGACGCTTAAGATTTGATCATTCATTTTCAGTATGAGTACTTGAGAGAGATTTAAAGCATATAAATTATTCTTTAAAAATATATGACCAAAACATTTTAATCTCTTTCTATTAAAAAGAAAAACCTCCATGTTCAGTGAACATTAAATTGTGATTTAAATTTAACGTAAATTTTATAAAATCGCAAATGCATATGCGCATGTATAATAAAGATATTTAATTATCAATAATTAAAGTTGTTTTTTATTAAATACAAAAATTTATGACATCACTGGTACTCATAAATATGTATACACATTTTATCATCAGATTTAATATGTATATTCATACTAAAAATAGTGAAATAATTATGATATTAACCATAATTGTCGCAAATAAAAGTTAGATTAAATTAAATACTTATTGTTAGATATACATACGTTTATATTTTTTATGTATGCATTTTTATATATGATAATAAAGTTATTTTAATATCATATGGATGTTAAAATTTAATTAATGACGGTCCATAATACTTAACGTTTTTATTTATTTGAAAAATATTTCCCGTCAAAACAGATATTGGCGTTTGTTATTATTGTATATAACATGCATTTATTATTTACTTGTACTGTAAATTAATACAAATCATAAAGTTTACAATAATTTAAAATAAATTCCACACTATAAAGCAAAATATGTATAAACAGTCTTTAAAATAAAAAATGAACTTCCAATATAGCTAAATGTACTCATAATTTTGTTTAAAAATCAAGATTATGTGACTATCAAGACTGATTATTAAATCTTAGAAAATTGATCAAATTGACCAAGTCGATTATTCTCCTCATATTTGATTATGATTGGTCAATTTCTTATGACTTAAAAGATCCCACGATCGTCTACGACTTCTACTCGTATTGTAGACTCTCTGCATAAATAAGCGAAACTTTTGTTCTTATTTATCCTCGTATAAAATAAATCTGTGACACATAAAATCGTTAAGGTAACGGGAAGGTAGAATGACGAGTTATAGACGTTAAAAGTACGGGGAAATTGTCAGACAGTTATATAGAGAGAGAAAGTTATAAACGCTGATTGAAGGGAATCTAGATCTAACATCTTATGGAATTTCCTACGGTGGTAATGGTTGCTCTAAAGCCGTTGCCATTGTTCTCGAATTGCGATCGATGTTACATATCCCGCGAGGCTTGTAGCGAAACGGAAAGTTTATACGAGCTAGAAACTTGATGAATTAATCGTTTGGCGGTCGCCTCGCGGACTACCTAAATTGGATTTTAAATTAGATCAAATAAGATAGATATTTTGTTTCTTTACATTTTTCTTTACAGATTACATTGTAAGATAAAATTAAAATGCTATCCATCTGTACATATGTATATTAAGAGAAATTCGCAGAAACGATCAATTATATATTATATGTATAAATAAAGAATCTTATATGAAAATGTATGTAAGTACTTATATCTTATCTTTTTCAAATATAAGTACTTACAATATTAAAAAAAAACCAATAGAAAGAGAAGAGCTGTTAGAACTAATAATTATTGTTACTCTAATTTGATTATAATTACTATTATGTGTGTGTGTATGTGTGTGCGCGCGCGCGCGCGGATGTATAGGTACATATTATATATACGAGAGTAGAACTTACGTTGATTCGGAAGGTATTGGTTGGTCCATCAATTTCTCTGACATTGGAGATAAGGGATACGGCTGCACCAACGGCTGTGACATACCGTCTCCATCTAAATAACATTCCATATGCTATCTTATTTTCTCCATGCGTATTACTTTTGTATGTGATAACCGCATTCTTCGATAATTTCTCGGTATAAGAACTTTACTTCTAAAATTTTTTTCATACGATGAAATACGTTGAGTCTTAAGAAATATATTTTGCGACTTCGATATTTCGCAAATTGTGTTGCAAAATATCAGAAAGGGCTTCGTAAGACTCAACCCTTTTTATTGTATAGCAAAGTGAACTTAATCACATATCTATAGCTGTTTTGTCAATAAAACTATTTTAAATACACCTTTAAACAAACACATACACATAATACATAGCATTTGTACTCCGTTAGAAAAAAGAATGCAATCATTAAAACGTACATATATCAGTATCTTCCTTCAACTCGATATTTTAAAGAAAAAAAGGGAGAGAAAGAAAGAAAGAGAAAGAGGGAGAATTTGTTAAAAATTTCTGCAGAATAATATCCCATTCCACAGAAACGCAAATAAAGACTGAAAATTCTGAATTTGTTTATCTTGAATTATAAGAAACGTAAGAAAGAGTTAAGATAATGTACTCATTTTACAGCTTACACTTCTAGCAAAGTTAATTACACAACACTAAGATTTTTCTTATCAGCTTAGAATAACACGAAGCTTAAATTTCACAGATTCGCTTCTAATTTTGTATAATCTGCTTAGAGAATTGCGCATAAATTTTCAGATCGTCGCTTAAAGCATGTTAAATTTTGCCTGTGTTAAATGTCGTTCGATCTAATACGAGTTTAACTTAGATAACGCAATTACATGTGGGACATGCGACGTTCGTCTTGCATTCCTGCTCGGTATGAGGGCGTTCCGCGAGGTCGCAGTCCCTGGAGATGGCACCAACACCATCTCTGCATTCGATCGTTCTCGTCCGTATTCCGGTGCCACAGGTCACGGAGCACTGCATAAATAAAAAGTTAAAATGCACATTTCGCGTAGAATTGCAATAAGATGCAATGTGGGCCGATAAAAAGCAAGGAATATAATACAAGCGATTTATAAAAAATTGTAGTGGCGACATTCACATTTGAAGAGACAAATCATATCAATATCTATTTGAGAGAGTGAATTAGTAGGAATATTCAATGACATAGTAATATAAAATATGTAATATAATAATATATTAATTATAATGTAGTATATAATATATAGTTGTAATTTAATAATATTATACGAGTCATATGCAAAGGCAATATAAATACATATAAAAAACATTATGAGGGAAAACAGTAAATATATGAGTAATACAACAATTGGTTGTTGAATAAAATACTACAGTTATACTATAGTTAACTAAAAATAAAAATATAAATCATTTAATAGCGCTTCGATTCTTCTTGGAGTCATCCGCAGTTTATAATTGGCGTAATTCACAGTAAAATATTATTAACAGTCTGTTAATGAACCTAAAGATAGAAGATCGTTGTTATTACATGAATGTCATCAAAAACTGACTATATGTAGCTACAAGGTTTGAAATAATTTAATGGACATATGTTTCATTTTAGGTCAACATTAAAAACGAAAACAGGATGTTAAAGAGGCCAAATTTTGCTCACAAAGGTGTAAATAAAAAATAGTGTTTTTTAAATAGATTCTGACCTTCTGAATAAAAGACAATGTTACTAAAAAATTCAGGATTGATACGGAAAATGAGCACAAACAAGATATATTTAAACAACAAATTTCAATATTCTTGCTTACTTTTCAAGGTGTCTCTCAAATGCCACAAACTTTTTAATTTCATCATATTCAAGAAGTCAAAATCTAAAAAAAAAAAAACGCTATTCTTTTTTATTTACACCTTTTCTTGAGCAAAAATCATTTTAACATCCTCTTTTCGGTTCGTAATGTAAAAAATTAAAAATAATGATTATAATTATGTGTAAGACATAGAAGATAAAAAATAAATATGAGGCTTGTTTATTTGATTGTTCTATTTAAAAATTGTTTTATCAATATTTATTCACAATTTATGATAAAAGAGAGGTATAATAAAATAAAAGAGTTTATAATTTGTAATTTGTTTCCTGTGATTTAGTAAAAACACAAAGCATAAAAAGTTCGTTTGACAAGGATAAATCAGAGAACGAAATTCGAAACTGCGCTTTACTCTAAAAGTAAGGAAAGATGCCATCGAAACTATCCGCAGCACATTAACGACGTGGCATTTTCGCATGAAATGCCACATTCCAGGGCGGACTAATGCTGAGGCGCAGTCTAATTTAAAATTCCGGATTGCAATTTTCGGTTCGTATTTCAGCACGAAAAGTCTCGTTCGAGGCATGTTGCCACGAAGTTTCTCGCTCGCAATGAGACCTGCAAAGAATGGCGAGAAAGGAATAAGAAGAAAGTATCGAGAGAGACGGATCAAGGAAACGGAATCTATAGACAGAGAAAGAGAGTGAGAGAGAGAGAGAGAGAGAGAGAGAGAGAGAGAGAGAGAGAGAGAGAAAAAAAAAGAGAGAGAGAGAGAGAGAGAGAGAGAGAGAGAGAGAGAGAGAGAGAGAGAGAGAAACAAAAAAGGAGAGATAGACAATGAAGAAGGAGCTCGGACGTGAGAGCTATCGTTCACGGAGGTGGAAAGGTGACACGAAAGGAAAAGCGGAAACCTACTCGACTTAGGTGCCTCCCCCACTTCCACCCTCTTTCCCCTTTTATCCCGTTCCTCATTCTGGATTCTTCACCCTTCTTCCATCCTTCATCTCCCTCCGTCTGTCTTTGCTTTTCACGGTCGGAGCCATATAACTCGGGAAAGAGTCTCGCGATAGCGAGGGGGAGTGCTTTAAGAAGCCTTGTGCTTTCAGTTCAATATTTGCATGGCTCCCAGTTGCTCACAAAAGAGAGAAATCTATCAATTCCTGTCTTCTAACGGCGCTTCCCCCCCGCTCTGCAGCTTCGGATGAAATCATTACGTGCCACGCTGACGGGCACGGAGCCTTTATGTATCGCTACTAGAAAGAGCGCCATTCTAGGATGTTGTTCGGTTCTCGAAAGCGGATAGGGACGGATTGTATTGTGTATCGATCAGAAATGAAGCGCCGTAAATCATGGACCGCGCACACTTTTGCGTGCACATGACTGGGAAAATTTACTCGTTTTATCTGGTATTCCGCACTCATTAGTCTGTGTACAAATGAACGTAATGGAATAGTGATTCGTTCGTTCGCGCGAAACAAACATTCTTTGAAATATAGAGATATGTAATGGCGCAATGTGCGTTTATATTTACCAATTGCAGTGCAAATGTACTTGTTATAATATTATAATACACTTTATTCTCTCAATTAATCATTTTTAAAAGGGGCAAGATCTCGTAATTTTATAATAACCAAAATCGATCTACATGAAAAGGATGATTTTGCAGAAATATCTAAAAATTTAGTTAGATATACAAATCTAAATATAATTTTGTTAAATCATCAAAATAATTAAATGTAGAATGCTCAAACTGGTAGCTACCAGAATATCAACAATTTTTTCAGCATTGCCCATCATGCTTAATTTTGTAAGTAATCATTTTGATAATCCCACAAAATTTTATTTTCATATCTGTATCAAACTAAATTTATAGATACTTTAGCGAAATCGCTCTTTTCATGTACATTTAATAAAAATATCCATGTATCAGAGTTTCTTATGTTATACAGAATTATATATAAATATAAAAAGGGAAATCCTCTACTATATATGAGATAAGTTCTTAATATAAGTTTACGAGGTTTCCACTAAACTGATAGGCGTTATCTGTTGGTTCTTCCACTACGAAGCTCTTGATCTAAAATCTATTTAGTGGAAAATTCATTATTAGATCGTGTGTGTAGTCGTTGCGGAAAAAGTTTTGTAAAATTAGACCGATATTTTCAAGTTTCCTTGAGATAAATCCACTCTGTTTATTATATTATATACATGTGTATAATAAATAAATATTTCTAATAAATTCCATATAAAGTGATAAAATAAGATTGTGTTATTAGGAAAATACAGGATATGTTGCATTTCATAATTGTAGAGGTAACATTTAACGTGATCGTGAAACTGCAAGGCATGAGACTCGTAATGTGAGATACTCAAGGTACTGCTAATGTAAGATTGCCGAAATTTTTTGCATTATTATAATGTTTTAAATGAGGATAGCGATTTTAACAACAAGGAAATCCGTTGTCTAAATCGTAGCATATTCGTATTCTTCATTTAAAATATTATAACAATGCAAAAAAATTTAAAAGTTACACAAGGAAAAAAGTATATTTTATTGTGTTGTTAAAGACTTAAGAATATATATTTTTCATAATATCTGAAATATTATAATTTTAGAAAATAATTTAAGAAGTTTTTATATGAAACAAAATATAAACACACTTCGTAGTACAATATACATCTTTACATAATAATAAATAGAATAAAAATGTAAGAAGCGTAAAAATATTAGGGAACGTGTAATTTAGAAGATTAGATTGTGGTGCGATTTAGAAAAATACACCGTGGCGCGACTTACTATTGCCGATACTTTTCGGAATTTTTAAAATTTATTGTGCATAGATTGATTGAAAAAGAAAAGAAGAAATAACTTGAAAAGATTTCATACACGCGACAATCTAATATCAGTACCGTAGTACATGATCAGTAAAATATTGCGCTTTACACGTTGCAGATACCGCAATAAATACACATCTAGTGCAACGGGCCGCATTTAGCGACCTCATGAATAAAGCATGACGTCTACATTCCGCAGGGAAGTTGCGGAGATTTTTCCTTTCACGTGTCTGCCAAGAAACTTTAGTTCGCTCAAGAGATGGGAAGCGTTCACGAAAACTCGTACGAACGCCATTCTTTACTGTTATCTTCCTGGACGTTCATCGTCATGTCCTTATTTATGTAACAAGATTCTCTGTATTCTCGAGGATCATGAGAGGCTATTTTACCCACAGCGGGAATTCGCAATGTGTAACTGAACGCGAATACAATTCGCGGATGTATTCTAATACAGGAATTTGTCTCCAGGAATAAATATCTTTCCGCAACATTCCTTCTAACTTCTGACATTTCCATATCTTTTAAACTTTTTCTATATTTTATACAACGGTTAAAAATACTATGCATGTATCTGTAAGAATAATCTCAAATTACTAAGAGAAAGTAGTAGAAAGTATATTTATAACTAGCACTAATTATAAATTATATTTAAATTATAGTAATAGTAACCATTTTTTCCTCTCAATCTATCTATATATTAAAGGCCGATATTTATAGTCAGTTCTTATATTCAAGATCGTCTTAAATTCAGTCTTGAAATGTCACGAACCAATCAGAGAACCGCATTAGCGGACACTTCTTAAGACAGTCTTGAAATAAGAGCCAACTATGAATACTGGCTAGAATATATCAAATTGCAAAGAGCGACTAAAACTGGAAATTTATACTTTTCTAAAAATAAACGTTATACATGTATAAGAGATAGAATAATAAGATCAATATTTATATTTAACAATGTAATTTTATAGATTATATGAAAATGTTCTGATTTTATTTTAATTGCTTTTTAAAAACATGTTTATTTCTTATTGAAATAATTTTTGATTCAGATTCTAAATCGCCCCTTCCCCTCCACAACAAACTTTTATATTATACCTTCATATATCCTTAAACTTTAACAGCGACAGTAGACAATCCAGAAGAATTACATGTTTATTCAATGCAGAATGTGGGCGATTCGAAGAAATAATAAAGACATTTTGGAAAATTTCGACTCTAAATTCTTTTTAGGCGAAAGCACCGCAGAAGGATCGAAAGGTGCATCCAACCGTCTAGAATTGGACGAGTTCCAAGTGGATAAGTAACGCGCATTGTCAGACATATAAAGACACGCGACACTTTTATTGCGGAATAAATTTGAATAAT